AATAGAAGCGAGGCATTTGTTTGTCAACTGTGTATAAATTGCTACATTACCTAACTAGCGCGGAAAAGTAAATTATTATCGTGTTGAGCGAAGAAAAACACCCGAGACGAGAATCTTTTTTGCGCGTACGTTACGTACAGTATTTTTCAAAATAACGCGTAGAAAGCCCCAATTTGAGCGCACATTTTTCACCGTGCAGCGCGCGGCAAAGTCGTACTTACCGCACGGCGCGTCGAAGTAACAGCAGATTACTTATCCAGGCCAGGCAAGTATTGATAAGTCCATTAGCGCAGAGTTGAAGCCGAGATATTGAAACGCGCGCTATGGGCTTGCCAATTTCTCGGCCGTGGTGCGTACGCTAATTTGTTGTCCAGTTTATTTCGCGGCTCGAAAGAGTAGCATTTCCCGGCCGCGGCTCGGTCGATAACACACTGATTTTGGCCTCGCTGAGCAATCGAATAGTTTTCGTAGCAGGCGCCCGTGAAATGCGAATTCCCCGTCTCTCTGGTACTAAAAGAAGTACACACGCCACGAGAAGTAAAATGGCAAGCTCACAGCTCATTTCGGCTTTGCCTCGGGTGTCAATTGGGACATTATCTCCCTAAACGTAATGTATTAATACGCACTACGACCGCGAAATCGGTAAGCCCACAGCACGCTTTTAACAACCTCTGCTTTGCCTTGATTATTAATTCTCATGTGCTATGATTCTCACGTGCAATGGACTTATATCAATACTTTGCTGGACTACACTGAGAAAAAGTTCACCGGAAAAATACGGAAAAATAGACCACTAATATACGTACATTTTACAATGATGAATCCGTATTTGTTCTAACTTTGAAAATTTATTAAAAAAAATTCGTAAAAATTCTGGAGATTCGATGTAATTTTTACATGTCATCACCGTAAAAATTATTCGAATACAATTTTAATTTTTAGAGATCCGTCACTTTCGTCCCTGTATTACGATGCGTAATTTTTACATAATTTTGACACTGATCATCTGTATAACTTTTCTGAGCAAATTTTCCCTGTGTAGGTACGTAATCTACTGATTTTTGTCAATACTTTCGTGGTCTTGAGTTCTAATCTCCTAGTTAACATATTTCCGAGCGAATCGCGGCCAAGAAATGCTACTTTCGAGTCACTGGACAAAACAAGTATCTATTCCCACAATTATTAGTCGCTCGAAAGCGCCCATATTTATTCGCTCATATACAAACGTTGCACGAGCGAGAGAGCGGCAAGTTCTTATCTATCGTGTCTCTTCGCTGACAAATTGATACATAACCTCTGTTCCTAGCTTTTAACAATACGTCACGCAATAACGCAACGATAAGAAAAAGAATAGTAAGTCCATAGCGTACGAGAATTGATAAGCAACCGAGGGGAAGCCGAGGGCTCGGCAAAAAAAAAATTGAATTGTAATACTGCGGCGACGGGTACATCTTATCGTTTTCGAATGCCATAAATAAGGGGATGGGGGACGCGAGATGCATGCACGCGGTCAACGACCCTTTTTCCCTCGGTTATATGGAAAAGTCGACTCCGTTATTATGCTATGTATAGATATCTTGAAAGAAAACGAGTTTTTCAAGATGCGGCTGCGGAGCCAGGTGAAATGTACTCTAAAAATAGCATCCTCTCTCTCGGCCTTGACGGGAATCTCAGAGCCAAAGCGATATTATCCGCCTAGCGTATAATGCTATAAATATATACATACTTGTAACTCACCGCGCCACGACGACTCATTTGACTCATCCTCGGTATACTCACTTGTTTTGTTTATTTATTTATGTGTTGCGTGGAATGTTGATAATAGAGGGAAAAGTTTGCTTTTAAAAGCTATCCGTGCGGTATTTGTCTATGCACAGGGAAGAATATTAACGCGGAATGTTTATTGAAAGATTAGTGAAGCGTGAGCGCGTTGAAAGATCGGCAAACATTGACACGTCTGCGCGCGATAAAGCGCTAACCGTGCGTGATAAAAAAAATAAATAAAATAAAAATTGTGATTCCAAGTCGCTGTAGCTTACATTTATCCCCGTTGCATTTCGGCCGTGACTTTGCCGTTATAATCCTCAAATTGACTTCCGTGCTCCGAAGCTATTTACCAAGAGCTGCTTGTGTACAAACGAAAGTATCCTTGCAACAAACAGGCCAATCGAGGGCAAAACCAACTCTCCATCAACCTGTTACACCCGAAATCTCTCCTACGTGACTTGTAATAAAGGCGTATAAGAGTCGAGAGAGTGAGTGAGACGATCGGACCATTCTGAATACTCCCACGCGTTTCCGTGTGACGATGCCAGACGGAAGTTTTGCTTCTGTTTCTCTCTCTCTCTCTCTTCCACTCCCTTTCTGAGTGAAGTACGATTAATTTATTATTTTCTGTCTGCTCCGATTCTCCTTTAGAAATGGTAGTCCGTTTGTGGCAGTCGAGCACACGATAGGAAGAAATATTCTCCACGGCGCAAACAGTGAAAAGTTCGTCTCCAAGAATTCGTCGGGAGAAAATAACTTTCGATTCAGAAATCTTCGTTCAGCGTGTAGCATAAAATTCCCCTCCACGCGTACGAAAAGAGTTCTTATCGCGCATTATTCAAACGCTTCCATTCACGCTGAATAAGAAATAAAAATAGAAAGCGGAACACGGAAGCCGTACGTTCATTATCGCGACCATTGCGGTACGACTTTGCCACGCGTCCCGGCGGGGTGTACATCGTCATCGCGTTGAACGAACCATTTTTAATATATATACACAAGAGAGACATTCCGTCGCTCGCACGCGTGTACGTGACATAACATTTCTGGGCGCGACTACCGCAAGAGAATACCGAAAAGGCGTCGCGCGCGCTCGTTACGCCATTTACTCCGGTAGGATGATAATTAATTCTGTGCGAAGGACGAACGCCCTTTTCCACCTGCAGGCGGATCGAGGAAAATCGGGCTATCTGGCGCGGCGACACGCCGAGCGCCGTGGCGGTAAGTGCAATGGGCTCGGAGGCTTGAGAATCGCGGAAGAGAGAGATGTTTCCGAAGTGCCTGTTCGGGATTGTTTACGTCTCGATTGGATTGATGCTCTCTCGGCTCAAGGACGCTCTCTTGAAAATTACTCTCCTTTAGATTTCCGTACAACTTTGGGAGCAACCTTCTTCTTTTATGACCTATACCGCGGGGAAAAAAAAAGTGAGCGTAGCCAGCGATGTTCAACGCGCGTCATATAATTTTCGTGATACATTTCGTTCGATTGCAAAATCAATTTTCTTCAGATTTTCTCGATAAACTAATATGTTATTCGAGCGATTACGGGGCATCGGATATTAGGATAAAAGACGTGGGTGTCGGTGCTTATTCACAAGTTATAGCTATCGAGATTTTGCTTTAACAGACTAATATAATATATTTATATAGTGGTGCAGTATATATGGCATACTATAATTTTACATTATTTCAATAGAGTTTGATCACATTCTAATAACTATGCATCATCTTTTAAAGGCATTCAATATAAACGATGCTGTTAGCTGAACATTTTCGCGAAAGTAAACTTTCTGACTTGACTGTTGCGTGCCCTTAACTAATTTTCACTCTGTCGCCACGCAAATGCGTTTGTATTGGCCTGTGGATTGATCATCATCCGACTGATATGTCTGTGATCTTTAAATGCCTTAAGAGGATGACGGAAACCGGCTAAACTAAATAGGAAATGTATAGCTACCCACGTAATCGCTTGTTCGACATTGTTTAATATATCCTGGGACTAAGTTTGAAGATATTCACGTTCAGAAGCAAATAAGAACGACAAAATGCACGTGGTGGATTTCTGCAATGTGCTCCGAGATCCTCATAGGCGCGCCGGTAACGAGAACTAGTCAAAGCTCGCTTATTTTCTATTTATCGCTGCGATAAGACTTTTCACGACTTACTGTTCCAACCGTAAACACATGTAAGCATCGTTGGATAACGAGCAGCTTGCGATGAATAACGCGATCGCTCTGGCGCGAAGAATCGTTACGATTAATAATTTACGCGCGCAAGTGCGACGAAAACGCGGAACAACCAAAGCCATAATTGCTTGGCTCGGGCGGTGTAACGACACTTTAATAACCGCACTGTCTCTGGAGGAGGGAGGAGGAGCGACGAAAAAACGAGAGAAAATTAGCCCGAGGCCACCAACGAGTCGGCAGAGCGATCGATAAACCACCGCTCTCGAAAGCAACGACACTCTGCCAAAAATACATATAACTTAATCATCGTACACATGGGCGTGTGCGCGTGTTTTTTTTTTTTTTTTTTTTCTCTCTCTGTTTTATGTCGACCGCGCCTATATCACGTCCAATCGATACGCGCGCATATTCTTTTATTTTCGAGGATGTTTGTTGCCGAGGTGTGCTCGCAGCGTCGCGCGCATCTTACGACGTCGTTACCGTCGTTATCGCGCGGTTAATTGCCGCGCTAATCGGATAATCGAATGCTAAGCGGCTAATTATTTGCGCTCGCGAGGATCGCGCGAATCGCTGCCGCGATTGCGGGGCGTCGTCGGGCTCCGTTATTTTACTTTTTATTTGACAACTGAGCGAACGACGGCGCGTCGCGCGAGGAACACTCGACAGACAGCTTGGAGAGAGTTTGCCGACCCGTTCCGCCCGATCTATAGAGATACTCGCTGAGCCTGAATCTTTTGATACATTGCGAAGGCGACGACAGTGTATACATCGATTCGGCCTTTCCGATATTTCGGATTATTGACTAAAGCGTGTCGGACGGGGGGAACGAAAATTGGCACTTTGTGAATTCAGGCTACGAACCTCTTTGTAAAAAGTCTGTGCGAATGCAGAGCATAAGAATTAGCTCGGTTCGGCCAAGAAAGAGAGAGAGGGAGGAAGAGAGGAAATTGTTATATTGCAATGTTCAAAGGAAGCCCATAATTTTCGTTATAAATACACAAGCCACTAGACCTCGTTCCCACACTCAACTCAATCAAGCGGCGCAAAATGAAATTACCCATTTCGCTCATTATTAGATTCGCAGAGATTGCCACAGCGGGAAAGCAACGAAGGGCAATGACAGAATGCAATGGGCATTGGTAGCGTAACAGCGTCGGCAAGCTGCGGGAGAAGGAGAAAGCATCCAACAGTACAGCGGCAGCTGGTGGAAGTTCAAGAGGACACTTGGGGCTGAGTTAATAAGCCGTCGCGAAAGATCGCGCGGCTCTGCCTGCATTCGCCACGCATCCTGCAGCCTACAAAAGTCCGCGCTGGTGGCGCAGGAAACGACGGAGGCGACGCGCTGCTGCTGCTGTTGCTGCTGCTGCTGCTACTGGTGCCGCCGCCGCTCTTATCAACCACTCCGGTAAGTTCAAGTTGCAGGCGAAGCCACCGCCGATTTTGCTTTGAGATGCTTCGGGGCTTCTCGTGGACCTTATTATACCCCTAGATAGATAAACCGTCGTGCAAAAAGTAGGTTAAAAGCTCGGGGAAAAGGTACATCTCTCGATGGCTTCCCCGCCAGACTTTAACCAACTTCGTACGCCGAGGCATCTTCCTAGGGGCATTTGCGCACAGCGGGCGACGAGAAGTCATTCCTCTGGATTTCAGACAAATCTTGGCCTCTGCCTCGAGTCCCAAGTATCCGCGCGAGGGAGGTAAAAAGCGCGCTACGATCTGATTGCAGACAGCGTCAACGGCAGTTCGTGACAGAGCGAGAGCAGCATCAGCGCCAGCAGGATGTTCACGGGAGTGATCTGCCGGCGCAACTGGGCATTACGCTTGTCGATCGTGCTCAACGTGTGCGTGCTGCTCTACGTGTGCGCGCACTTTGGCGCGGTCTCGGGGCCGTGGGTCGAGGACACGTACAACGCTGCTGCTGCCGCCGCCGCCTCGCCGTCCAATCCGGCGAGCAGCGTTCAGCAGGACATGCTGTATGGAGCCGCGCCAAGGCCGAATTCGACCAGCGGTACGTCGACGGAACAGCAGCAGGGCAAGCTCGTTCAAGAGAAATCGCCGTTGCCGGCGTCTGCTGTGCCTCCTGCTGCCCCCGCTGCTGCTGCCGTGGACTTCAAAACTAACGAGAGCAAACCTGAGATCGCAGTCAATGGCGAACAGGACAAAAAGATCAATCTGACGGTTGGTATTGTCGTTGTCGTCGTTGTTGTTGTCGTCGTCGTCGTCGTCGTCAACGACTAATTGATTCGTTAGTTACGAGATTGTTCTAGCAGTGGGTATTCGCTAAAGGATTTTCATGACAAGTTTGTAGCGCAATATCAATAGTATACGCTGAGAATCGGTATTTCCGGCATGAAAATTGTTGATATTGCAAAACAAACGTTATTTACAAAATGCCCATCGGTCAAGAACGCTCAATTCACATTATTACTTGACGCGAGCAATATTCCTGGGTGAAATTGCAGATATCGTAATTAAGGAACTTACGGCAAAATAACGTTACGCTGTATAAAAGTCGGCGAGTAAGGCATGAATTAATTGATGATTAATTAAGGCATGAGGTAATTGATTATTTGCGAGAAATGATAAGGTACTTTGCACAATCTATTAATTACGCGTAGAGAGTCCCGACGATACTGCTTCCACGCACGCGAGAGAGTTTTCTAGAGTACGATGTATTAACAATTGATACGTGTATTAAAAACATTTGCCGATTGACGTGCTCGCTCTTTCTCTCGAGTCGGATTGCATTATGAATGCAGGTATTTTCAAGCGACGAGCTTCTCGTGCTCAAAATTGATGTATAAATTGCACGTTGACTTATATTGAGAGACCAATTATCAATGATGCATGATCGATAGAGGATTCGTCGAGATTCGACACTTGGATTGATGGATTTGTCTTTTTTTCTTTTTTCTCAATGAATTTACTCGCAGAACAATAATGTGCCGCAAAAGGAATTTCTTTAGTCAGTTATCTTGAAAAAAAAACACTTCAATTTTTAAAACACTTTATAAAAATAAGCGCAAATTTAAATAATTTGTTTTCTCAAACTCCAAAACTATTTCTACTTCACATTAAAAATATATTTTCTTTGAAGAATGCAACGAATACAAGCTTTTTTCACCGCGGATATTTTATCAGCGTGTCAAGTTGTTATTTTATAATTTGCAGTGTTGACTAATAACTGAAGACCGAGAGGAAAGAAAAATTAAACAACCTCGTTACGCATTTGCATCCTGAAAGCTTACGCGCGTTACATAACTTTTCAATTGAATTTTTCACACGACAAGGCGTGTATAGCACAGAAACACGAAAATATCCGATCTCATAAAAAATTCATGCGCATATCTGAAAGTTAACCGCCAAGTGTATTGTTAACGCCCTTCTTTCTGCTAAAACGCGAACTTACAACTTCTTTCCAGTAGGTCATTTATTTTAGCGTCTACGGACAAAAAGAAAAATGCGTGTTTTTTTTCTCTTGTTCTCCGTGAAAACAATGAGGCTTTTTATACCGACAACACTTAAAAGTTTTATGTTTTTAACAGCAGCAGCAGCAGATCACTCAACAGAACGCCAAGAGAGAATTGACACTGCAGGAGGCAATTTCTTGCAATGACAAATCCAGCGAACCGAAAACTGCGCAAAGGGGTGACTTTTGGGTTCTCTACAACTACGTTACCATGAGCGATAAGGTATACAATTATTGTATCGCTCGTTGCAACATAATCGTTTTCAAATTTCCTTCGCGATCCTCTAGTTTGAAAATATCACAATTCTTTTCCTTTCGACAAAACGAATCGGTAATTGCTTGACCATCAATATCTTTTCTTGTCAAACATTACTTATCTCGTGTATATGTATCATTAACGTTTTTCTAATCAATGTTGAGCAGGAACTATAATCGTCTTTGAATGAAGTTTTATACTAATGACGATAATTTTCACGATTCGTTTTTGTTCCAAAGTAAATTTTAGCATAATTATCCTCGGTAGTATAACGAGTGAATCATCGTAAGCTCTACTTTTCCACAGTGATGAAGCGAGAAAATAACGTCGAGTATGTCACGAGTTTTCTTTTGTAAAATCACTCCATAAATTATTCATTGATACATCAAAAGAAAAAGGTGTTGAAAAATGAAAATGATACTCATCTTTTTCTTATAGCCGCACTGTTGGGAGAGCGTAACGTACACGACACACGCAGATTACACATTCCTGGACAATTTAAATCCATTGCTGGAGCGTTGGCGAGCGCCGATCTCGATAGCCCTTCATGCCCCAGGCGGAGACTTTCCGCCAACGATCGAGGCCATCAAGTACGCGCGTACCTGTGGTAGTCCCTTGGTAGCCAAACTCGTCACTTTCCACGTCTACTTCAGCTCTAAACACGTGCCAAAAATGGTGAGCCAGAGGAGGTTATATCATGCTGTCCGACTGATCGCATTTCTGCTGGTTTTTTTTTTTTTTTTTTTTTATAAAGAATGTGGGATTTCGTGTCGCGGATACTGTTGATTAAGTAGCTTCCAACGATGGTTAATTGGAGCACCAATTGAAAAGTTGTCTTTTTTTTGTTGTTGAAATGTTATGTGCCGTTGGCATTGACGACAACGGCGTGTAACTTCTTTTAGTTGCTCAACTAATTCGAAGAATTGTGAAGATCTCGAGAACTATTGTCACACAAACGGTGCATTATTTTCTCGTTTGACGTCTTTTAAAGAGAAAAAAAAAGAGTTACGCGTGTGCTCATAATGAAGGTTATTTTACTTTTGCGATTGTTTCAGAGGATAGCTTATTAATATTGAATTTATTGTTAAAAGGAACTAATGAAAAACTCCACGTTAGTGGTTGTGTAATCTATAATATAGGATAGCACGTAAATTGAAAATCGAATTGCTTTATAGGTTTCACTGTTTCTCGAATTATATAAAATAAGTAATTTACGTATAAAGTTCAAGTAACTTATAATTAATCAATAAGTTAATAATAACACAAGCCAAGCGAAAAGCGCATTGCATCGATTTACTAAAAAATTAAGAGATTCGCAGTTATAACACACAAAGCGAGGAGAAAATCGTAAAAAACTGTTTCAAGACCAGTGCTATTACTTCCTTTTTTACAGTCGAGCTATCGGTTTTCCACACTGTCGCGCGCTTTGCACGCATTAATAACAACGGTTGTAGTATGTATTTGTACATATCTATAGAAACACATACAGGGGCGCATACACACACATACACACATATATAAACATATAAATGAAAAGAAAATTCGTGCCAACGATTTCCATGACCTCGATATCGATGTTGGATGCTGCTGGCCGTGCGTCATCGTCGTCGTCGTCGTTGTCATCATGGCTGGCTGGCAGGTACTTTCACGATATGTGTTGATCCTAGCAAAACCGCGGAACAACGGACGATCGATACCATGCAAGTAATTAGGGCCGATTACTGCGCTTCAGTTGCGATGGCAAGATCATCAGTGGCTCAAAGTTCATGCTGCTGCCGCCGATTGCTTTGTTTCAAAGTGAAATTGTACGCTCGAAGGCAGAGCTCGGTGGTTTCAATACACGCTTTTTGTAGTTGGAATGTTATCGAAAGTATTGGTATCTAAATTTTTTTTATAAAGGAATATTTCATTAAAAAGTTAACTGGTTGGCGCTAGTGAGTGTTTTTCCTTCGTGTAACTTATAGCTTCTTAGAGTAGTTTATTCGCAACATTTGACTACAATTCTTTACATAACTGGTTGTAGTAATTCCGGAACGTAATTTCTTTGTAAATCAATTACAAGTTAACGTGCAAGAAAATTACATTAAAACGTCAATTTAGATTTCATAAAACATCAAACTCAGATATTAATATTTGTTTTCGATTGCAATCACGAGCCGTATCTCACAATATAAGCCAGCTGATTGAATTATTATTTATGCAATGAAAAGAAGAAACTCCGGGCAGGAATAGCAGCAAGGAAAGAAGGTCGAGTTAAATTTAATTAGCTCATTGAAAAAGTGCTTATTACAGGATAACTCAGTCGTCGGAAAACACAGAGGAAAAAAAAGAGATATTCCAGAAGCCAATTGCTCCTTGTCAATTATTCATTGTTTGATTTACTCCGACTCTCTACCTACAATGCTTTAGAAGATTAACTGGATTTGCTTGCAAAATTGCAGCTTCAATTTTTCCGGATAAACTTTACGTCGAAGTAGAAAAATTCCACTTTCACTTGACGTTTAGTAGCCTCCTTACTCAGCGATAAACAGAGCAACAACAGTCATGAGAATTACGGCTGTTGCAATTAATTTTTTATTGCCCAAAGCAAAAGACCTTTCGCAACGAGGTAACAACAAAAACAACGCCAGCAGCAACTCTCGAAACAGAAGTAATAAAGCAAGCAGGCAAGCGTGCGCCGGAGTCAATCATTAAATTACATCAGAAAATTCTGCTCGCAAATGGCCTTTATTGCAATCCTCGATGCTGCAAATACGACAGTAATGAAGTGCAGACTGATTTCCGCGATCGCGACGATCCGTTGGGAAACGTCAATAATAATCGTCGTTGTGGTTTGAATTCGAACTCGATGCTATTGTGCAAAATATCGCGTATACGTCTTTACACAAATATTTTATTACTTTTCACGGATGAATTGACGTTGAAATACGTCTCGCATCGGATAAGCATCACAAGTCAGCATTTAATTATTTCGAGAGTGAATGATAAAAATCAGGGGGGGGTAGAGAGAGAGAGAGAGAGAGAGAGAGAGAGAGAGAGAGAGAGAGAGAGAGAGAGAGAAACAGTTGATTGGCAGAAGGATACAGAGTAACGCCGTCTAAAGTTAACATACAATCTGTAGTATAGTTCTTATCATAGCGTGTCATCAGGCACTAGTTCAACTGGCATGATGATCCATCATCAAGCTTGCTCGCCTGGTTTTGTGTATATTACAAAAAGAAACTTATTCTCGACGTGTATAACACTTCATATTCGATCTGTTTTATCCAAAGTTTCCGTGTGTGACGTCATACCTGCAAGTTTATATACGTTTTTTTTACACTAGACGATCCTAGAAGCTACATTCGATGCACACAATGCGCAGTGAATCGTTAAACTTTTGAAAAGCTTTTGTGCGATCAAATAAAAGTGTGTCTGTGTCTGTATCTGTGTGTATGTGTTATTTTTTAATTCGAGTTATTGTTTTCATGCGGATTTATAATTATTTGCAAGTTATCATTTTCAAACTTTACAATACAATGTAAAGTCTTTTAATTATCAAATAAGACGAAGTCAGTTTTATAGATAACAAATTACAGCCACTCGTTTATAGTTGTCGCTAAGCAAGGTGAAAATTGAGTTTTGTAATTTCTGCACTGATAGAATTTTGATTGGGTTGGGTTCTGGATAAAAATAGAACTCCGATAAAGTAATCTATTTAACGGCAGCAATATCTGCCTCGGCAAACCTTTGTCTTGTCGATTCAATCTTCGGCAGCTGTTCGACGGATTGAAAATTTGCATCTTACCTAACAAAATAAAGCGAGTTAATTGGACTAAAATCGTTCTTAAAACTTTGCAGATACCGTCGGGCGAGAAGATAGCCGCCGAGAAAGTGAATTGTAGCAAGCCAGCCCCGTGGGTCAACGCAAGCGTGTCTCACATGTACAAAAGCGATCACAAGCTTCTGTACCCGGTGAACGTAGGTCGCAACGTTGCTCGCGAATCAGCACCGACGCATTACGTGCTTGCGAGCGACATCGAACTCTATCCATCGCCCGATTTACCAGCTAAATTCTTGGAGATGATCAGACGCAACGACCAAGCGCCATTGCATAAACCTAATCCTAAGGTATTCGTGTTGTCGATTTTCGAAGTTGACGAGAAGAGTCTACCACCGGCCAACAAAACCGCCTTGGTGAGTTGTCTTTCCGTTATGCGAATATAGTACTCTTGGGGTCGGAGAGGAGGAGGATAGCTGCGCTGCGTGCTCCGGGGAGTCGTACCAAGAGAATGGAAAACAATCTTTCTAATGGAAGTCTGAGTTTTTCGTTTTGTTTGGTCGCTACGTTAGGGGAGTTTGCTAGCTTGTGCAATTTTTCGTTTGCGCCGTCTCTCTATTTATTTACTTATTTATTTTTTATTTTTTACGCGGAAATAGCCTCTGCTGTACAAGAGAATTCTTACGCATTTTTTATACGCGTTTTAGCATTTCACGCTCTCGACGAGAAGGGAAATCTCGGATGAAACTTTTACGAGAAACGTAGGGCCGGCTTATCCGGACGACTGAGGCCTGAGATAATTTTTTTTTTCGTTCATCGACGAGAATTACAGGCAACTAGATAAAAATCTGTATAACGGTTTGAGAAGGCGACGTTTTCTTGTAGAAAACCTTATGGTTTGCAAAATTTTTACGAGCGTCACGATTGAAAAAAGTGGCCTTCACGCGAAGGTTTGACGAGCAATTTATATTGGTTCATTTAGAAAGACCCCGAGTTTGATTTCATAGCACATTTAGGCGCAAAACGCTCGGCAATAAAATTCTGCAAGTAGTTTTCTCGCGACGAAATCCAGAGCACGAGCAATGATTTTCGTACAATTCAAACAAGTATGAGTCGTTAAAATGAATTACAGTGGCTCGCAGGCACAAGCGGGATGTTCATTATTCGCGCAGAAAACAGAGTTTCGGATTTTAACGTCTAAATCTCGCGTTTGTGATTTACGAGGGCTAAGTCTCCGTTTTCCAAAGCAGCAGCGACGCATCGAATTTTGTTCTTGTCGACGAGAATTGAGTTACCTCACTCTCTTGGCTAAAAAATCGATTCATTCGTGGGTTCGATCGTGTCGTTTAAAGCGTGAAACTGCTCTATCAAAAAAGCCGCGCGACTGTCAAAGAGATAAGAGAAAATGCAAGAAGACGGAATATCGGTAAAGTAATAAAAGACATTGTTGCTCCGTTGGTAACTGTGTAGCGTTGAAGGGCGTTTATTTTCAACATTGTCAAAGTAATGAATGCCAGTGGAAACTTTCTGACTGGTGCGTGGCTTTTCGGCAAATTTTAGATGCAAATGCTGAAAGCCGGCACGGCGATACCGTTTCACAAGAAGCTCTGTTCTGGCTGTCATAACGTGCCACGTAGCAAGGAGTGGCAGGAGGCAGCTGAGACGAGCGGCCTACACGTGTTCCATGTGGGCAAGCGAGTCGGCAGCTTCATACATTGGGAGCCTATCTACATTGGCACCAACAACGACCCGCTCTACGACGAGCGACTCAGCTGGGAAGGCAAAAGCGACAAGATGACTCAGGTACACATGTGCACATTCAATTATTTTATTAGTTCTCCACCTAAGATCTATTCGCATTCATACCGTTTATGCGGAGATCTGCTTGAAATGGAATGCCGGTGGTTGTGGAAGGAAGAAATTTTTTAATAAAAATGCTAAAATGGCAATTGAATGCTGGAATTGGAATTGTGATTGCTGGAAGTTCTAAAAATTTTAAATTGAAAAATTTTCCCGTCAAAGGCATACACACCGTGTCTCTGCTTTGCATAAGTAATCAGCGTAATTTTACCTTTTCCCAGGGCTACGCGCTATGCGTTCTGGACTACGATTTCATGATTCTAGACAACGCCTTCCTCGTGCACCGTCCTGGTATCAAAGTGTTCAAGAAGGATAACTACCGCGACACACTCACAGCGAAGACGAATATTCTTATCAAGAAAATCATCATTCCTGAATTGAAAATCCTTTACGGTACTCGGAAGGGTTGTGCCGTCTAGTCCATGCCTAAGGGGGTTAAAGTGCCAAAGAGTCGCTTCGACTTTAACTCCCAAGAACGCTTATACCAAGTGCGCCAAGTAGTGGCTAAGCCACGTATCTCGCGATAAAAGAAAATGGAAAACGTCGCAACGCAAGAGAGGTATATGACTTTTTTCATTCTTTTGTGAACAATTCAAACTTGCTGTATATACCAGAGCTACTGTGCTTTCGCAACTTTAGCGGGAGGTCGTGTGGTTTTTATTTGTATTGTAAGTGCTTCGCTGAATAAAGTGATAATTCGAAGCTAGACACAGTTATCGATGATGACAGTGAGTGCTTTTATTTTGGTTCGCGATGAAAATTATTTTATTAACTTGACGACAGCTTCTATTTGAAATCGAATATACGATTGGTGCTTATATAGATTTACATATTGGAAAGTGAATATACGGAAAGATAAATTGGTTGTGAGCTTGATTGATCATCGATCGCGTAATGTTCACCTTGAATGCGGTAAAATATGTCACGGAGAGCTTCTTATGCTAAGGGATGAATATTATTTTGTATTTTTGACGAAATAAGTTTTATAACTTAATGGAAATTTAAAAATAACTATTTGATTTGCCATTTCCGAGAGATAACTGCACAATGACAACTATGCTCACATCGTTAAATAATTAATTTAAAAGGTTAAATATGGAATTATTAGAAACTAGAAGATTATGCGGGTCAAGTTAATTATATGATTGAAAAAAATCCTTGAGATTTATAGCGATGCTTTCTGTTTTTCCATGCAATATTGAATGTGTATATATGTATACATACTGAATCGTCGAATTGTACTACGTAGATTATATTTAAGTAGCTCTATTACTCCTCTAGTTGAATTTATTTGATCTTGTTCCGACAATTTTAACTTTGATGTCATTCCTTATGTAACTGATTGTGTGTTATTTATTTTCTATTATTGAGATTTCCAAGATTTATACTATTTGCAGATGAATAACATTGTTGGCTCCATTAAAATAAGTCAATTAATAGAAATTCTGAGAAATCTTAACGACGGTTTTCTTACGTAAAAAATCATACTAATCAAGTTGTTTTTTTGTCAACAAATTTTGTCGGAACATCAACAAATAATCAAAATCCATAATTTAACAAATCGTTAAGAATATCCATATATATATAATTGTTCTTCTCGAACACGTTTAAAAAAACTTTGAAATGAGCAAATAAAAAAGCAGAGTGATAAATAAGACAAAAATGCTTGTGCATTGAAAATGCATTACAGGTTGTAAAATTAAAAACAAAATAAATAAGCGTCCGTGACGTAAAAGAATAGTCATAATATTGTACAATAGATTTGAATATTTTTTATACTAAAATACGGCGGAGTTTGACAAGGAAAATCAAGCTGGCAATATCATTATTCAAATAGTATTTCAAATTATGAAAGTATCGAGTTGACTTTTTTAAGTGCGGGTCATCAATAATTTTCATATTTATTATTTGTCTGTTTGGAACTCTCATAATGATTAACTAATAGAAAGTGAAAGTTCAAATTTACTAATACCAGGAGTAACTGATGGATCATTGAGTTGAAGAAGCGATCCTTGAAAAATGAGAATTGCGAGTTCCTAATGTGTTTCCTTGTCTTTTAATTTTACATATAGGGCTGTGCAATTATGTCGCGCAGGCTACATTAACTATGTAAGATCTATAAGAGACGAATGATTATGATGTAGATAGGAAATGATACGGGCGACATGTCTCACGTGTAAATACTCCGTGCCTTACAAGAAAACAAATCTCTCAACTTTCGAGATGTTCCCATTTATCGTATGATTTGCGTGATAGTTGAGAACATCTAATCAATTTAATTTGTCTTTGAAAAATCATGCATACCGTATAATTTTTTCTTATTAGAAAACATTAGTTTTAGAATTAGACACGTCGAAGAATAAAGCATTGTTTTATAGTAATCACTTTTTAGCGTTCACCTAAATGATTTTTTGACAAGCAACGAATAGAAAGTCGATATAGTTTAAATTAATGTGAAAAAAATAGTATAATCAAATTTTAATCGTACTTCACGCGGTCAATTACTTAAAAAAGATCTATGTATACTAATCCCATATCATACTGTTGACGTTTCAAATCAGCAACGAATCATAATTATAATCATTTTCTAGATAAACTTTGATTCAGTATTGCTTATTTGTAATCGATATTTTTTCATAATTTAAAAAAGAAAGGTAAATAAAAAAAATTTTAATATTTGTTTGTAGTGGTAGAGTATAAATTTTGCTCGTTCACGACTACACTATAGAAGTTGCATTTATATAATAATACGACTTGCAGAGTTTCCCTTAGAGCATTACTAAACTTTTAAGACTAACCCATATGTGAATAATACAAATCAATACTCATCATTTATATATAAATAAGACGCTTAAATAATTGTTTTGATTAAAGAAATGTGCAAATATTTGACGATAATGTTATTGAGTTAGACAATCTTATTGTATATTTTTTCATAAAAAATTACAAACTCTAATGTTGAGTTTTAACCTTTTATATTAGATCCATTAATTATTTTGTTTCACATTAATTGTATTGATATATTATGAGAATATTTCTGTATATTTTGCCATTACCTCAAACTAAGGTTTCTCTAAAAATAAATTTATAATTAAAATGATTATTCACATTTGAAGACTAAGGAGGTCGGAGATATGAAAGTTATTTAGTTCACTAATTTTTTATATCAAAGTGAATGTTTAGAGAAATTTTTTGCCAAAGCGGTCAATCATTATTTTCTCAAGACTACTGTTGAAAAATTATTCTGATTTAAAAACGATCAATTGATAAACGAAAACAATCAAGGTGCAATAAAACGATATAAAAGCTGCTTGTTACGTTCAGTCGAATATTTTTTTATAGCTGAAAGTATTTGCTTTTTTTTTAAATGATACAGTTGTGTGTATAAGAAAAGTAGTATTGCTGATTGTATCGTGGATGCTCTCCAAAGCCCTTATTGTTATATATCTATATACGTATATAATTTCTGTAAATGATTGACTGACCAGTATACATATAAAGAGAAATGTAATTGAGGGACGAAAAGAAATTAGATGTAGAGTAACGTCCACAAAAGAGAAAAAAATAGATAAACACTGCGTTGTGGTAGACTTAATTTTTTTATTATTATATGTGCTCTTATCGATGTGCCACACACGAGAGTCCTATCGACACAACAAATGAATCCCCTGTAAGTTGTATATAACGTGTAAAAATATATGATGATTTTAGAATTTAAAAAAGAGATGAACCATTCTAATTACTATTGAGTATACGATTTTTTTTAAATATTTTTTCATAACAAAAAAATTAATTCATCGAATTTCGATTGAGAATTTGCTAAAAATCTTTACGATTTTAAGTACGAGCTTAAATCTTTACGATTTAATAATGTTGAACATTTTTATTAGCTAAGTACGTTGAACGATTTTAAAAATCTGAGTACATTTGAATATTTTTTTTGCGAATGCGAAAATTGTATAATAAGTTTAAGACCAAATCGTTTCATTATTTTTCGCAACATCATTGTATTATTTTTATCGATGAAAGACTTTGTCAATGATTGGAATAAACATGTATTAGACTTTATCGACTTACTAATTATAACATATTCTATGATTATCACTCTTGATTAGAAAGATGTTAAAGCTAATGATTGTTCAGCAACATGTTTTATTGATTGTATAATGAGTTTATATATTCGTATGATGCCGAAAGAGCCATCGCAAGAAATTGCGCCGTATGGATATGCAGTCGAGAGAAAAAAGATTTCATTTTTATAGACCGTCAGGATTATATATGTATAGAGAAGCGACGATATATAGTACGATAATCGTTCAAGTTTTTAAGAATGAAGCGATAAAAAAACGCCGATAATTTAACAACCCGTTAATCGGGCCACTTCAAACAAACAACCATTAAAGAGAAATATAGAGATTATCAAAATACTGTGTTTTTTAATTTATTTGTTGTATTATTTAGTTTATTATGAGATTTTGTTTTCTGTAATTTTATTCCTATCAATATTCAGCTGCTCAAAAAATTGAATTGTAAAACTACAACAATAACAAACTAAGCCGACAAAACTTGATTAGAATAATAAATTGAAACTTAGAAAATCACATATCAAAGGTTGTGCTAACAATTAAAAAAATCTTTACCGAGCGACAATAAAAAACGCAAAGAATCAACGAGTGCAGGTAATATAATACGAAAGCTCGCGTGCCTTGAAAGGAAAGCTCACTCAATTTGCATGCTCTCACACAGCAGTTGCAGTCGTAAATTTTTTTTTTTATCGCCTCAACACGCGACGAGGCGCTTTTATGCATTATGGATATGTCTATTATCTCACGTGCCACTACTGCACCAAGAGCGAGTAAGTAAGATGAGTCGTTTGACATGTTTTACGCGCAACGAGCAAAATGCAAAGCGCTCAGCTCGCGCGCCTAACGACTTGCACACGTGCGCTCGTTCACTCAACCTGATGTAAGCACGCGACTAGCTTATATAGCATTTCCATTCATAAAAACGACGCGTCGTTTAGGAGGCGGCATGAGCTTCATAGTGATGTAGACATTTTGACTAGTTGATTAGAATTTATTTTTCACTCTAGTGAAATATTGAAAGTTGCTAGGGAGGTTCAGATTGCAACAGCAATTAAAGAATTTCAGTCAACGAAAGTGACTCTTGCTTCTTTTTTCAACTTAATTACTTTTGTCGCTTTGATGTAATTAACAAGGTTTTCCAGATCACTGGATTTACTAACTATTCTATTTCTATACTTCTTCGATATTGGATCGGTATGCGGACTCAGCATAAAATCAGGAACGACAACTTTATACCATTGATCTTTGTTTATCAGCTCAAATTCATTGTCCTTGTAATTAGAAATATACCTTCGCAAATGAAATAATACGCTGTTTATTTTAAATTGTGTTAGATAATTATAATAGTGCAAATGCATTACCTAACTTCTACTTTGATTACTTTGTGCTGCTTATCTTTTCGATTATAGATGACTCTCATTCCAGACCAGTGCAAAGGCCTCAAATTAACAAACGTTGCTTCTTTTGCTTTGCCTATTAAATTCTCTTCGACAATCTAAGACATGTGACAGCTGTTTTTATATATATATATATATATATATATATATATATATATATATATATATATATATATAACATATAACATATATTAAAAATAACATTTTTACTTGAACTATATCACTTCCTCGGAGTTCGATCAAGTCCCAAGTATTATTGCGTGGCAGCATCATGAAAGCATCTTCGTACAAAATAGGTCCGATTGGGATGTTGTGACGAATGACGTTTACTGGCATCAAACTAAGCGATGCGTCGCTGAAATACTGGACAAACTTTGTATTTTTTAATAAAACAACCTCCTCCATATTCAAGGTGACTTCCCCAGCAAAGTATTCTCAAGTTTGTCTCTGCGCATTGAAAATACGCTGTAAGTGTTCAGCTCGCTTGAAACAAAAGAATTATCGATAGATTGAAACGAAAAAATTTGGAGGTATTTCTGATAATATTTAGTTTCTTACTCTTTGCCAAAATTTAATAAATGCTTTTAATTATTTAAGAAAAATTACAAGCTCAAAAGTTACAAAGTGCATAACTTGAGCCTGTTATGAAATTTCAAAAATATACATATTTTCAACACTACATTATTTATCGATGTCTTGAATACTTGAAGAAGTTGAGAATGCTTTGCTGGTGAAGCAAACTTAAATACTTTCAAAAAGACCGTTACCGTGTGTATCATAGCATCGGTGACAACGTTATTCAATGTACTTTCATTTGGCGGAAGCCCATACGATCCATTCAAATCAATTAAGGTTTCTCCAATCACTTGATTGCCTATGCGATCGACTTTCATTTTCCACGGTATCAGTTCTTCGACGATCAGTGGATCTATGAGAGAAAATTGTGGTTCATATTATCGATTAATTTTTCATGTATATTTCTTTTGTAATATACCCTCTTCGATGGATTCGTCCAGATAAATCGGATTTCCTTGCCAACACAGTACTTTATCGTTCTCGTCGAAAGTCAATTGTAGGTCACCCAAGTATCTAAAATGAACAAATATCTTAATTTTTTAAATGGTAATAATTTGCTGAATATTACCCCGTCATAATAATTACGATAATAAGTAAATGTAAATTTTTCGAACGATTATCATAAAGAACGGTAAAAGTTGCTCGAACTCACTTGGTTAAAGCACTTGCATGTGCGATCAAGACCGTCTTGTTGGTTTCTTTTTGAGTGACCACTGTCGGGTACTCGCCCCAAACAGTTTCGCTCGACGGTGGATCTCCTTCGAGGACATTCAAATCGTCATAAATGAAGACCAAACGGCAGCTTGAAATGCCGAGCTCTTACCGTTGTAGAGGAGAACGTGGGAATGGCCGCCAACGATGATGTCGATGTCGGGACAATTGTTCGCCAACGCAACATCACGCTCGATGCCGCAATGACTAAGCACGATGATAATGTTGATTCCTTCGGCCTTCAGCTTTCTGGCTTCTAAATTCACGGCTTTCGATTCCTCCAGAAATTTCAATTTGCCCGTGCCGACCGCTATTTTCTGCGGCGACACCGCTCAAATGTACGCAAGCTTACGCGCAGATCAGTTAAATCGAACTTATTAGCAAATCTTACGTCGGTGTCCGAGAATATAACGCCGATTACTCCGACGTCCTTGTTTCCTCTCCTGATGACAGTGCTGCTCGTCCATAAATTCTACAATGATGGTTTCGATTCGATACTTCGTTCGTGAATGACGACAAAAAGACAACGAAAAATGTATACCTGTAAGGAAGGCTCTTCGCTAACGTCAACATTGGCCACTACTACAGGAGCCTCTAACTTTTTAACGAATGATTCTAAGCCCGATATTTTACTTGCAAAGTCGTGATTGCCGATGGTCTCCAATTGAGGTTGTATTTAGTTACATTTTTTTTTAATATTTACAAAAAATTTGATGTTGTATATACGTACGATCGCATCGTGAGGCAGCAAATTCATGAAATGAGCCGTAATACTTTCTTGAAAAAGAGCATAATATAAAGTTCCATTGAAAAAATCTCCGGCGTTAAGGAGTATTGCATTGGAACGTTGCTGCTTCAGCTTTTTAATGATCGTCGAAACTCTGGCGATTCCGCCTACTTTAGTCTTCTTATCGTGGGAGAGAAATGGCACAAACCTGTTGTAACCATAAATTACGAGGAGCTTTGAATAATTATATCAAAACAACATTTTTCTTTTATCCATATCAATATTTCGTTTGCATTGTTATTGTATACAAATCAAATTGCATCGCTAGTGTAACAAAATCAAAACAAATTATTATCAATAACTTGTTTATATCATTCAATTTCAAAGTAACTTTAAAAAAATTGTATTTAATGTTACTAGTATATATAGTAACATTAAATCCCATTTTTTAAAAGTTGGTTCGTTGTATAGTTTTTAACGTATTAAGAGATATATTGGAATAATTCTGTGTAAAAGGCTTTAATTATAAAGGACTGAGAAATAAGATTTTATAGGTTTTCAACAACACGAACTAATTATATAAAAATTTATATAATCAAATAAATGGATCGCATGGATACATAATAGTGCTCAAATCACTACCTACCGTTATTTCGGATTATAAATTTTAATTATTAAGGTCCCTCTACAAATATTGTAAATGATAGTAAATGGTCAAATTAAACCATGTCTATTACGAAATCTACAGTTGAATAAAACTACCAATAAACTATTTTTCTGAGATTGCGACTAATAAGAATCAAATTGTTTCAATTGTAATAACTCCACTCTGATTAGTTTAAAATTAATTCGTTTTGTTTTCGAGAGGATCAATTTTCAAACTTTACTCTGAAGTTGTGTATATATATATTGCATTTATTTATAACAGAATACAGCTATTTCAGAATATTAAAATTCAAATTTTCGCGCCTTTCATCTTACTATCCAATAGCAAATTCGCAATACTAAGTGTCAACTTTTACTTATCATGTTTCGTAACGGTATGCAATAGATATATAACTTATGTATAACCTATTTCCCTGCATGTCATCTTTTTTTCGTGATTTCTTTCCAAATTATTCAATAATAAGCCCTTGAAATGATACTGCACTATAAATAATAAAATTATTTTTTATGTTTCAAATCACAAAACGCATTCATAACTCATTCATTGTGATAAAAGGTAAGTCAAAATAATTTTCCTGGGGAATGACTTACCTCGCATGGAAATCACTAAAATGAATAACAGAAAGCTCGAAAGTCTTTTGCTTACTCATGACGTAATGCAATTTAGAAAATAGTTTCCGAGGCAGAAAGCTCACTGCACATTTGTCACCGGTCGGATGTTGGCATAAACTTGATAAAGCTTACACCGCAACAAATCTATAACCGCTTTAGTTTCGAGCTCGTTCACCTGATTTTAATTATTAAACTCAAGCACGGTTCGCTCAATCACGACTAACTTGATGATACAAGCAGAATAGTAAAATTCACGATTAGTACGAGAGAGTTCGCACATGGGCTCTGTTTATCAGTGTACAGGTGTCCATTAGCACGTGATTACTTTCATTTACGAGTTATGTGGGAAAATTACATCTTGTTTGTTATACGAACGGTTTGTCACAATACTATTCTTTACATACCTTTATTTGGTTAACTTAACGTATAGGATAATTTTTTTATTGCAAATAATTACAAGACTTTTCGAATAAATTTATACATGGTAGCGATTACAAGCGAGATTATGTAACGCTCGTATAGTAAATTCAAAATTTTATAAACAATGTTTGAATACTTATTTGGCAAAGATAATTCTCGGTTCGCTTTTCTCTTTTATTATCTTCATTTTTTTAATGTAACTGACAAAGTTGTCAATATCTATTGTCTTTCCAATAACATGATTTATAAACTTTTTCTCAATGGGGTCACCAGAAGGAAACATCAGAAAACTTGAAACGACAACTTTGTATCATTGATCTTCATTCAATGCTGCGTATTTTTCGCTTTTGGAATCGGCAATCCTTTAAGTTAAACAATTTTGTAATTTGTAATCTTTACTGTATTGTAGTACATGACAATATTCATTATACCTCACATCAACTTTGACTACTTTGTATCGTTCAACACTCGACGTATATACAACTCGTAATCCGGACCAGTGTAATGGTCTGCAGTTACCAACGTACACTGTATTACTTTTTCTCATACCATTCACGTTTTCCTCGATAATCTAAAAATAATTACGTTTACTTATTTATATTTTGAGAAAATAATTATATATTATTCTATTTTGCATGTTTTCATCTGAAGTATATCACTGCCTTTGATTTCAATCAAATCCCAAGTAACGTTGTGCGGTAAAGTCATGTAAGGCGTCTTCATACGAAATTGTTCCTATATCGTAATACTATGACCAATTCAAAGCGTCGGCATAAAGCTCACGGATGCAACATCGCAGTACTATATAATGACATTCAGAGATTTTCAAATTAAGATTTAATACTTTATATTTTCAACGACAACGCGATAAGCAGCTATTCAGCTGTTTGCGAAATCAGTGATTCACCTATTATTTGTTTTCCTACTTCGTCTACTTTAGCTTTCCATGGTTTCAATCCCTTGACTATCGCTGGATCTACAATCAAAATAATCCAAAATTTATCGATCCGCATGAAATTTGGTTTTGATAAATTCACCTTGTTCTACAGATTCGTCTAAGTAAATCGGATTTCCTTTCCAACCTAGTATTTCGTCTTTGTCACCAAAAGTTATTTGCAAATCACCCACGTATCTACATTTAAGAAATCGTTTTAATTTTCATTTGTAGCGCGACTATGTCTATACTGTAAGGACTTACTTGCTGTAAGGACCAGAATGGACGATTAAAACTTGTTTGTTGCTATCCTTTTCCATAAATTCTTTGAAAAAATTAAATAAAAATTTATACGCTTTACCTCATAAGTTGAATATGTTTTTGAGTTATACCTGCAGCGATGGTTCTTCACTGACGTCAATGTTGGCAACAACAACCGGAGCGTTTAACTTCTCGACGTAAGACGCCAGTCCTGATATTTTGCTATCAAATTCATGGTTTCCAATAGTCTATTACGATAACAAATGCAAAATGTAATATTTGTTAATGCGCAGTTTATACTAACTGAACGTACAATTGCATCGTGTGGTAGTTGATTCATGAAATGTGCAATAACTATTTCCTGAAAAAGTCCATAATAAAGGGATCCTGTGAAGCAATCACCAGCGTTCAAAAATGTAGCATTCGGTAGTGTTTTCTTCAGACGCTTTACGATTGTTGATATTCTCGCTATGCCACCTACGGAGCTGCTCTTATCGCTCGAAGCAAGCGGCATAAAATTTGTTAAAAATGACAGACAATTTTTAAATTATCGTTATTATTTTATAATTGTTCATAGTGCACTGCGTTATAAAATTATCTTGCTTGGAAAACGAAAAATATCTTGAGAATAAACAATTATTTAAAATCTTTTCAGGTATGTAAATTACAGTAGTATTTATAAACTAAATATATTGATAACAAAGATATTATCTTGAAGGGTTAATAAAAGAAATGATAATAAGCCGCTTTATTTTACCGTGCGTGAAAATCACCAAAGTGGATGATGGAAAGATCAAACTTGTTGCTGCTAGTCATGTTTAGTATTACCACTTCCTTTCAAAATGTCGCTTCAAAAATAGCAATAAGGAAACTCAATGTATTCTCTAGCGAAAAGTGCAAACCGCTTGCTAAAGATTACTCGAACTCTTCTCAATTTTGACGTAACTCGCTCGTATTTGAACGAGCGACAACGGCGCCGTCAAATTAACACAGAAATTTAGCTGCTTGATCATCAAATTATAATAAGGCGCGCAGATCATCGACACTCTTTGAAGCCGCCTCTGAGAGAATTTACGAAACTACGGGTGAACAGTAACAGACGTAGAGATATTTCACGTTAATTTCGCTGTTACAGTGCAGGCGCAGATGCGTCAACTTGAACAGGGTACTGTAAGGCTTAGAGCGTATGCATACGGCAAACGTACACATGTCTATATATCACTCTAATTGATTGCGAGTTCGCTCTCATGCGAACATTACCTTAAAAAATGGTGGGTTTTTTGAATTCGTAGCCAATGAAATGATTTTATTAATGTTTTTTATACACAATAACAGATGGGGCAAACTTGATTGTAAACTACGATACAGCCAACAATGACAAGATAGAATTTTCGTAAGCTACACGTTCGCTATGGAACTTTTATTCATATAAATAAAATGCTTCTTTAAACTCAGATGCAACGGCTATTGTCAATCAATGCTCAAGTACTTATTGTCATGATTGACGAACGAACAAAACCTTACTGCTAACTTCAGCTCATATTTTTTTATCATTTTAGAGACATACGTCGTAATTTTTATCCTTTTAATTTTAACACGAAAGTTTTATGTATACTAATAAGCTATTTGTATGAATATAATTATCATTTGAATTAGGTGTAGTTTACGTACATCGAAAATTATTGATTTTAACGAGCTACATTACTTAAAAGCAATATAATAAAAATATAATTGTGAATTGAAGTCGGCAACTGAGTAATGACGAATAATACAAATATAATATAATCTGCAATATGTAAAGAATGTAAAAATCTAATGTTTTCTTAATTTGAATATAGCATTATGTAATTATTTAGAACAAAAAATATTTTAGAATCTGTTAATTAATTTTGTTCTAATATATCATATTCGTGTAAGGCTATTCGATTGGTATATATCATATCTCTATAGCTTCATATCGTCATTTAATTGTATTTAATATATTTGAGCACTTGTGGTGATACGAATAATATCACAGAAGCACTTATAGACATAGAAACATTAATTCAAATGGATGGTAGAAACATTAACGAATTTTCATAACTTCGAGATTTATTACAAGTAATCAACCATGTTTTACCTAACAAATACTTATTTAACTATTGGTCGTAAGTTGTATCGAAAATTAAACAAAAAACAAAAAAATGCAATTTTAAATACAATTGTAACTGACAATTATGATTTACTGGAATAGCAGCTACCTTATTACCTCAAGGTAAAACTATGCATTATGTATTTAAATTATCTGTACCTCTCTTCTCAGATTCATTATCCCATATATAATTAGAATTAAAAGAAGCTAGAAATACATACTAGAAATTGTATTACAGTAATCAATAATGTAGAAACCATAGTGAATGATGTACATAGAGATATACATATCTCTATATACATCAGATAGAGGTATATTGCTCAGAGTAAACAATACGGAAAATCTATTACTTATGCTGTTTTATCTGTAAGGAATATTGATATTAGTGAAATAAATGGAAAAGTAGTTAATTTACTGTAAGAAACAGCAGAAAAAATTAACTAAAGTATACATAGTACAAAAATCTGTAATAATAAAGATTTTGGAGATGTTTTATTATTAGATGATGTAAATAATCTTTCTCCTCCATCGATTTCATCGCATGAATTAAAATTGAGATTAAATTGCGTTGTAATGCTTGTTCGAAATCTAAGTATCAGTGAAGGCTTATGCAATGGTACTATTTGACTGTTCTTCCGATATTTTATTAAGGTGTGAAATTAACTTTTAACTGGAAGTAAGAGGTGAAATAGCATTTATAATTGTATAACATTATATTTGTCAGAAACTGAATATCTCCTTATTTTCAAACGTCGATAATTTCCTATCAAAATAACATTTGTAATGACACTTAACAAAGTACAACTTTAGAAATAGTTGGAATAGATTTTAGAAATGACATTTTTAACCATACATAATCATTTGTTTTTATCTCGAGTTCGTTCTTGGGTCTCACTGAAAAAATATATATGATTATATTAAAAGTTATGTATACAAAGATTTATATTTATAAATTTTATTGTTAAACAAATATTTTAAAGTACATTTGTAATAGAAACTTTTCATAGTTATCTAACTACTTAACAATAGTACATTACGTTTCCGATAAACATTCGTTATTACGAGTTTGATTGTAGATTGATTCAAACGTAATACTGAGTGTTGAAATACCTAAAACACTTCATTGATAGTTCTAGCAGCATAAAAACTGAAAGGAATTGGTGCTTTTGTTAAACAATCAGCTAGTAATCTCTCGCATCTATTCCACAATAATTCCAAAATACTTTCTCGTAGGCGTCAACTCGCTGAAGGCAACCAAAGTTGCAGTGGAAATACGTGCATTACGAGAGCACATAATGAAGTCTCGACCAAGCTACTTTCGTACGACAGTTAATCTCAGGATTATTGCAAGATCACTGTCCTGGACTTGTATTCCGAATGATTCAGTCTTGATATACGAAAGAAATCTTGAAAAGATCTCTTAGATTTCCATTATTACCAGAATAATTCCTCGCAAATATAAACTTTTGTTCCGAAAGATCCCTCGGGTTTTACTATTCCTCAATATTTCAGTGGTCGATTCTCGCCAACATACACTTAAGCTGGGAGCAGTCACACAGTTGCCTACAATATTAAATTTATTTTTGGAACGAAGTTTCTTATTGCGGGTTGCGCAAGGGGGGCCTAGCTAGCAAAAACTGTGACGTTAATGGTATGCGTAACAACGTCCAAATGAAGGAGCTGAAGGAGCGCTGATAACTTGCCACCACCATGCATATCACCACTCACACTAGCAGTGTCTTTCTTTCTCTACCCTCTCCTTCCTTTTATTTCTCGCTCTCTCTCTTTCTCACTCCCTCTCTTCACTTTTAAATATATATGCAGCTTGTCCCAGTGCTAAGATAAAGGCCCCCGACACGGCCCATTCTTTTAATATTTACATGATCGATCAGCTTCCTGTACATTACTTCTCTATTTTTCGCGTTTGTACAGAATGTACAAAATTATAGAACGAATTACTCTATTTTTTAAACATTCAACCAATTTGATATCATTATCCATCCAAGTAATGATATTATGATAACATAAATTTATGAGACATATTCCTTCAGTATCAAGAACCAAATGAGAGGTGAATTGACCTTTGATCACCTTTAGCAATATATTCTATTTTTCCTTGCAAAAAGGAATTTTTGTTTTGAGATCGTAAAAACGTCTTCTGTGAAAATCATTGGTGTGATATATTTCGATGCAGGTACAAAATCAAAATATCTCGTTGTTATGTTTTGCCAAACAATTGATAAAATTAGCAGATTTTTCCCTATTATTTTGTAATTGATTCGATTTCTTTATTGTTAAGCTCTCTGTGCAACCAAGGACAAAATTATTTTGCCGCCATATGGCAACAATTTGAAGAGTTGTTTAAAAGAGTGGCAAATCTGAGCTTGTATAACATTCTTTATTCAACGTTTTATTTCCTCAGGTACAACAAAAATAATTCGGCCACTAAACATACGTTGTTTAATTTTTTCAATATACATTTTATTTATCTAAAATACAGAAGAAAAATTATCGTAATCAATGAATATTATAGTGTAGTGGAAGACAATACTCTGAAATTTTCTTAAACAATACATACATTGTCGACAATACCAAACACGCTATCTTCAACACTTGCAATTGTTTATTAGGGTCCAATAAGTGGTTGAGATAGTAGCCTACGACTACTTCATAACATACCTGCTAGTTGGCGCGCTGTAACATGCGGAGTATAGGGCTAAACATTAGTTTAAGTGAAAATTTTAATAACAATGGGCGAAATATGTAATTGGACTAAGGAAAATCCATACCAAAGAAGATTTATAGAGAGTAAGTGGATGCATTTGTTATTTTTTTGTACAGGACATCTACTGAACTGTAGAAAAATACGTGTAAATAATGACAATGGCATCCTCAAAGTCGAAGCATTTTATTTACAAACTACTGCTTTAAGAGATAAGCCTCATAAAATCAATATTGATTTTAACTGCGAAAGTATGATATTATAATGCGTATGTCCGTGCAAAACAGATCTTGGCAAAAAATGCAAACATTTTTGCTGCACTGTTACACTAACATGGCACATTCCAGACTATGACGATCAACATTTCAAGGGTTATTTCAAAGGTAGGTTTCGGATTTTCTTGAATTTTTTTAAACAATTGGCCATGTCTCAAAAAGTGTTATTTTTATTTTGAAAATTCTTTTTTTATTGAATTCCTTGACACGTTTTCTTTAAGAATCCGTTTTAAAAGTCATCGAGCGATCATCAGTTGCGACACAGTGAGCGATAATAGCGGACGCTCACGGGCCCTACGACGCTCGCTTGGCCGCGCTGTATATGCCGTAAATAACCTACAGTGAAGGTGACAAACACTGATTTATTTTGCGAGTCTCTAAGTGACATGAATGAATAGAGATGAATATATATATATATATATATATATATATATATATACATATATACACCTATTTATTTTACTTATTAGCGTACATCGGTTTTTAATGCATAATCACTTCCTCTCTGCGTTCCAACGGGTTTGAGACCTACGCATCACGATTGCGGCCGCATTAAAAGTGATATATATATATATATATATATATATATATATATATATATATATTCGAACTAGTTCCACGAATCCGTTGTTATTTAAATATAGAGGATCTAGCACAGGCGAAAGCGTCATCTTCCGTACACAGCGCACACCTCGACATTCAGCTCGTTACAATATATATATATATATATTGTAACGAGTATGTATATTTGTATGTATTTGTATGTATGTTATATTGTAACGAGTGTAATATTGTAACGAGCTGAATGTCGAGGTGTGCGCTGTGTACGGAAGATGACGCTTTCGCCTGTGCTAGATCCTCTATATTTAAATAACAACGGATTCGTGGAACTAGTTCGAAAATGATCCACCTGATCGTCGCGAGGGAAAAGGTGGTTTAACGCTGGCGAACTAGAGAGTAGCTCTCTCGCCTGGGGTCCGCCGAGGCATCAACATCGTCGTTGGACACACTCAACCCATCCTTGTTATTTTTGAATTGTTGCTCCGGAGGATAAGCTATAAGTCACTACTCAAATTAGACGTCGGTCTTC